GTTAATATATGTAGGCATAAAGTGCATCTAAAAGTAGTTTAATATAATTATACACACAATCGTGACAAACATGTCTGAGAAACCTCTCAAGAGACGTGATCAATTTATTAGTCAACGAGGCATGGCTGGTTCAAAATTTGTTCATGTTTATAGATAAGTCGTGAGTGAAAAGAATTCTCATCTACTTTACAGTAGAATGCTTCAAGTACCTATATCTAAATTGGGAAATTAATTTGGCTTGAAGTGGCCGCAGGACAGCTTTCATGCAAGGACACTATAAACTGATTTAATTTTATATATATAATAGCCAGAGGCAAATTTTAACAAATTTTGCATGCAGTGATAATCTCACTGTGGGCATTTGTGAAATTCATAAAATTTCTGGTCAGCAAAATTTAAACGGTTTTCAGTAGGTTCAGTTTGCTACTTAATATGCATGGGCGTTGCCTCAAAACTAATCATATCTGCACATTACCCCAATATTCTTAAGTACCAATTTTAATCAACATATGCACAAGTTTTTGAGATTTGGTTTACACAGGCTGAAATAAGATAATTCAAATATACAAATTAGCTATTTAATATGCATAGACATGGCCCAAAATGTACTAAATTTGATCAAAATATGCTCAGAATTTTTTGAGATTTTCTTTACATAGACACAGAAACGGAAACACCAAATTCATTACCTCCCTCCCACAGAAGCTAAATATAAGTAGTTACCCTCGATACTATTTTGTTACAAAAAATCTGTTGTTTCATCAATGTTCATATTTGAATCATTTTTCTTCTTCATAAAGTGCTGTAAAGCATCACAGTCACCACATCACTCCATGAAAATGGATTGCAGGCAATATATAAGCTGATGTAAAATATCCATTTACACAAAATTGCAATGAGTACTAGCTGTGTGACAACTGGGCCTTTATTGCATTATAGTAAATGTACAATACTGTATTTTACATGCTTTTGACAGTTTTTGTGCTCACTGTGTTGCCATGCAGCTACAAATGTATATTGTGTTAATTTATTCTTACTGTATCATTGGTATTACATGCGCAGTTCAGGTGAGAGTCACCCTTTTTGACAATAAATTTAGTATTTAATAAATTATACAATGCATAATTCTGTCATAAATACTGAACTATATTAACACATGCTTTTCAGAGGTCATTGACCAGGGTGAAATACTCAGATGAAGGCTGCCCTCTGGCAGGCTTGAATATAAAATTCTATTAAAATCATTTTGGTTCGGACATCTGTCCTCAAATTGACCTATTTATTTCAAGTGAAAGAATGGCAAGTCATAAATTTACTTAAATTTGGTGCCTGAGGTCTTTCAAAGTCATCTATTCAATGATGTGAATATTATTACTGGCCCTAATATAATCTGCTGTACTGTCAATTTGTATTTATTCCCACAACATGTATACAGTAAATTGCTGTAATTTGGGGATTAATATTGCAAGCTAATATTTTGCAGTATACACAGTCATAGTGACTTTCGCAAAGTTAATCCTTGCAAAATAATCACATTGTGAATATTTATAGGTCATGAAAAAGTAAAGAAAAAATAAATACTACACATTGCTTATCCTACATGTACCATGACCCTCTCCACATCATCAAAACAAAAACTGGTTGAAATTTAGTTTTTGTTTTCATATATGAGGCTACCATTCACACTGCAAGTGACAAATAACAAAATTAGTTTTCTTAAGAAGGTTCAACCCGAATTTAAAATTATATGTCATGTTCACTGCACTTTTATTTTTACAGGTTCATGGCACCAAGTTAACAAAAATGAAAAAAGAATAGGGTCATCGAACAATCTTTTATGAAACAAGAGTTCAAAATGTCCTAAAAAATGATCAAAACTGGCATTTTTTACATGTCTAGTTTCTGTGGTGATATTATTTCTTTGTATCTCAAAATTCTGCTTTTATTATTGATATGAATTCTAATATTGTGAAAACATTTCACAAAATTGCCAAATAATTTAGCGAGTTTCCATGGTGATAAGAGTTTCCCAATATATGTAGGTACAATGGAGGTTAGCTCCCATAATGCATTGTGTATATGTGTAGTAACATGCTCAGTAGTGCAAAATTTTAATTCGGCTTGGACTACCTTAAGCAAAATGTTAAATATTATCCAATCCAATTCTTTTGTCAATATATAACAATAACAACGTGGGAATCTCAGGTATATATTAAATATCATTCTACAATTAGACAAAAGCACACACAAGTGTAAACTCAATTTGGAAAAACCTTTTGCATATACCGTATTACCCCGGGTAGGCGCCCAGTGGCCTGAACATACAAAATCGGGAAAAATTGGGGGTGGGCGCTTACCCGAGGACCACCCCAAAAAAGATTTTAAAAAGTTGTTTTTGTGATTGTATGTGATTTTGCTTTTGTACACTTTGTACACATACTTATTTCTTGATTTATGCGAGGTTTTAATAAATGTGAGCACTCGGTCAAGAACTGTGGGAACACTAAGACACAGGGTCGAATTTCAAGAATAAAACTTGTTTTATGTCAGTGAATGAAGTGGTATTACTCACTGAAATTGGCTACAAAGTGTGGTAAATATTGTAATCAATGCACGGTTACTTTTTTCGTAACCGTGATCAGTGCAAGTCGAAACGGCTGCGAAAAACTACCGCTTGTAATCCAAGATGGTGATGACCTCATTAGCATAATTTTGTACGTATTGATACATCGCATCGTAATTACTGAAGAATAGCAGACAGAGTTATAAAACAAATAAACCTTTTACTGATGAGATAACATAAACATATCCAAATGGCGATACATAAAAAACAGACTGTAAATAAACTCAGGTCGACCTCATTAACATGATTTATTCACGCACCCACACACATGACGAAATTACAAAAATAACGATGATGCAACAAGTTCCCATTGTCGGCATGCCTCATTATGGTTATCGTAATGGACTTGAGGTCGGCAAAATGTTTTTTCTTCAACGACAGAAAAATAATCAACATGACCGTAATGCCATAGCTGTGATGAAGGATGGAAAGAAAGTAGCAAGTTTACGACGTGATGTCTCAAAATTGCTAGCTCCTGTTATGGATTCACAGTCAGCGAAATGCTACGTTTTGAAACCAAAGCTAAGTGCTTCAAACCACTCACCAAGGTATGGATTATTGCAATATTGGATTCATCGTGAATGAAGAGAAAGCAGAACGTGTGCCACATGCTGCGTGGTTCATCTTACGTCGTTAAGTTCCAATGAGTTTTTACATAAAAACACAAACAAAACGGCCCTTTTCAGGGCCACCACACACTCCAAAAAGAGAACTACTGTAACAAACGCACTATTTAAATAAATCAAACGCATTTGTTTTTGACAAATAAAACTTTATTGTTGACCCCGTTCTTGGCTAAGAATCACCCTGGGCATTTAACCGAGGATGTCCCCAACATGCAACTTTTTTGAAAACAGGGGGGTGGGCGCTTGCCCAGGGAGGGGCACGTGCCCGGGGTAATACAATAATATAACCTTTTAACATATAATCAATTTGGTTATCCATGTATGCTTTTAAAATGCAATGTGTAATAACGATACCAGATTTATGAGTCTCAGAGGCATTTTAGAAACAATTAACCAATCAATTTTGATATCACAGACTGACATATGTATACAGATAGAGGGAGTACTTAGTTGGGTCAACTTTTCCAATCTCTGTAAAATAGCGCTGCTCTTAAAATTATTTACATGGTCATCTATAGGGAGGTTTTGATTGTAGGATGAAAACTTATAGTGGCTAATTTAACTCAAACTCATGTTTGCCATTTGCAAACAGATGTACATTTGATACAGTTACAACCAAAGTTATACATGTATGCACATGTACGGGTAATCTTGTTACACTGTTCAGGAGAATCTTTATCCCAAAGTATAGCTTTCCGAGAGTTTTTGCTCCGAGAATAGCGAGTATGAATGAAGAACAGAAGAAATATAACAGTGGAATGTGTAGATCTGACAACAGTATGTACAGTAAATGCTTAAAGGTTACTCAAGGTTTTACAAACGTGGTAGGTTTGAAATGGACATGAGAAAATGTTATATAGTCCATGTTAGCATAGGGAAAAATATTGAAACTGTTGTATCTTTACAAAAATTTTTTATTTTTTTATTACCTTAAGTCTAATTGAATGGTTGTTGTTTTACTTTTTCCCCATGATCTATTCGCAAAATATAAAAAATTCCAAAGATTTTCATTAATTGTATTGAGTAAACCATTTCAAAAATATGCACCCTTGAGTCACCTTTCACTAAAAGAATCTGCATATTTTTTAAAAAAATTCCATCAAGGTGAGAAAAATTATGACGTGTAAAAAGACAACTGTTATGAGAATATCAGCCATCTTACCTGGGTTGGAAGCACTCATCGTTTTCTTTATGACATTCACTAAGCAATTCCTGTGCATCTAAATAAAACTGATGAGGAAAACAAATAGATGTGTTAATTACTGTTTAAATTGTTGGACATACGTGGAGTCGACAAATCTGAAGCTCCATTGAAATCCAAGGAAATATTTCAGAGTAGTATAATCTCTATCAAATCCCCATCCAAGTTCAATGGAGGTTCACATAGGAGTACATAATACATACACCCATGTCAAGAAACAGCATTTATTAAAAAACAATGGCCACCAGTCAGCCATATTGAATAATATGTATGTAAGTTTGAACAAAATTTGTCTATGCATGACCGTAATCCATATCACGAATGACAATAATGCTTGATTTTGATGAGTTTTTAGCTTTTGGTCATTTTGAATTGAATTCTAAAATAATTAATGTATGAAGTTTGAATCAGATCAGTCAAGGCATGTCAGAGATATACGGCTCTGGAACAGTATTTATTCAAACTAAATGACCAACACACAGTCAGCCATTTTGAATCAGCTCTGTAAAACAAAGTAATGTGCATCAGGGTCCTATAATGTATGTACCAAGATTAAACAAAATCCATTCTTACATGACCACCACTGACGACAATTTTGAATCAGATCACAGAATGAATGAACATGCATGTGTCTCACAATGTATTATGTATGAAGTTTGAACATGATTGGTCAATGCACGTCTGAGATATGCCTTTGGAAATGCACTCTTTACAACAAAGTGGCCACCAGTCTGCCATTTTAAAACTGTCTGTGCATGAACGAGATCTGATTCAGGAATGATAGAAATCCTCGACTTTGATCAATCAGATCAGAAAACGAATATAAATACAGATGTATCCCAAAAGAGATCATGCATGTTGAGATATAGATGCAGACAGACTACAGATAGACGATAATCTTTAAATCCCTCGTTTTGGAAAGACAGAGAAAGCATCTCCATCTCTATAAATTGCGCCCTCTAGTGATGGAATATGTCAGTGATGTCAAAATGGTGCATATACATGTAGGTAAAGACAAAAGCATGATCTACAGACCAAACGACATCGATGATTTGAACAACCTTCATGCACCCATTTTCAGAATAGAGGCACATGTGTGACAAAAATTAGACAGGATTTAGACAGGATTAAGTACGCCAAACTCGCATTAATCCATTTATGCCAACTTTTTGTTATCAAGTATTTATATAAACACAAATAAAACAAATATATCACCACAATAAGGCACCATATAATTGTCATTATGTAGATTATTACATTAATTATGCATATAATTTATCAATTTAAAAATTGAAATATTAATAATGTATCCAATTTGAAATAGCTCAATAATTGTCAACAATATGCTGAAATACATTGTGTACATTTATTATGCTCCAACCATTAAGCTGTCATTGTATAGTAAAAGGCAGGTCATTGCATGCGTCTGTATGTGTTTAACGCGAGTACCATGCCATGCATAGTAATATATATTCATGCAAGTCAAATGCATTGCCTATTTACAGATTAGATTGCATGTATCTATGACAACTGCCCTGTAATGAATGTTTATTGAATAATGGCTGGTGAAATATGCAGGATTTTGACATCTACATAAAAATCCCTTAAACTGAGATTGGAATGTTGTATGCAGATTTTAATCACGAGCAAATACAAAATAGGAAAGTCAGAGACATCATAGTGTATTCGCGTTTACTTGTGAAAATATCTGTGCTGTTGTACAAGTACACATCCAATGGTATACCACCTTTTCTTCATGATACTCCTCATAATGCAATCATTCAGTGACTATTTTATGTGTTATCAAATGAAAACTATTCAGATGGAACATTTTGATTGATATATCACAAGTAATTGCAGCTATTTATAATCTACATCATTTTATAATTAATTATCACACATCCTGCACCTGCAGTCTAGAGGAAAACCAAAATTAATTTTCATGATTGTCTGTTTTTTTACCTAACCTTACCACAAATTATTGTTTTGGAGAAAGTCATTATTATGTAGGAGCCTGTTTAAATACCATATGTGTTCTATTAAAAGAACATCTCCAGTAGAATCTCAACTAAACCCAAAATTGCATTCACTGAACCATTAATAAAGACTTATTTTGACATCAGTTGCATCTTAGTAATGTAAACTGCTTTAATCCGCGAAAGATTGTCACGAATTTTGAAAGCCAGTGGAATTCATGAAATTTTGTAGAAGTGAAAACTTTGCCAGGGTAATACAACATACAGTGTTGGTGACTTTCGCAAAATTGCAACTTTAAAAGTGCCAAGAAATTGCAGAAATTTTACAGAAGAATGAAAGCAATCATAGTCAGCTATTGATCATAAACAGTATCAATCACTTACTGTATAGAGGTTTCGGAGACGACAGCCACCATATGTCTATAACAACGAGTCATTGTTAATGACACAGTCCCCGTCCAAAATTTTGTGATCTGACATATCAATTTGATGCTGATGAAGTCATTGAGATTAGAGTGAAACCATTAATAGGAGATGGATTTGTAAAAAATTATGATTTAGTGCTTTTACACGAGAATTGAACATTGAGCAGTCATATTGAATCAAATTACAAAAATAATGTTCATGTTGATGTATCTATTGGTATACTGTCTTTGTACAAAATGTTCATTACATTCATGGTAAAGTAGGTATGGGTATCATGAAAAACAAAATGGCCACCAGTCAGCCATATAAGTTTGAATCACAGAAAGAATATGACATGCAACTATAACCTGATATGTATGATCAACATATCAACTTTGATTTAAATTGGCCTTGTCATCACTGAGAAACAGCTCCGGACATGTAAAAAATGACGATTTAACGCTTTTACAGGAAATTTGGGCGTCGGTCAGCCATATTGAATCGAATCACAAAAATAAAGTTGGTACAAATGTATCCCTTGGTATACTGTCTTTGTACAAAATTTAAAGAGAAACGTGCATTGTATTCAAGAGAAAGTAGCATGGGTACCATGAAAAACAAGATGGCCGCCAGTCAGCCATTATAGTTTGAATCACGAAAAAAAAATGATGTGCACCTACAACCTAATATGTATGATCATCATACCAACTTTGATCCAAATCGGCCCAATCATCTCCGAGAAACTGCTGCGGACATGTTTAGGTATCAGAAAGAGCAAATTTTACAACCAAAATGGCCCCCAGTCAGCCATTTTTGCTCCGATCATGAAGTAAGTTGACGCGCATATGTAAAACATTATGTATTGTCTTCATGTAAAGTTTGAATCAATTCCGTCAATTGGTGTCCAAGATATATTTCCGTACGCACGGATGGACGAACGGACGAAACAAACCCAAATTAATAGTCCTTGTTTTCGGACTTCGTCCGAGCGGGGACTAAAAATATCACAACCCATGTTCGAAGCTCAGACTCATAAACATGAACAAATATGAATGAATGATTACTTACCCATTGATTGAGTGGTGTAAATTTACCAGTCAAAGATTTCAATGCTTCCTGTGCTACAATACCCCCAACAGCTGCAGTCAGTGGAGCAAAACAGCCTTGAGCGGTAAAGGCCAGGTGTGTCAACAGCTCGTTATCTATACTGACTACTTTGTTAATTAATGTACTGTTTAATGATTTGGCTAGCTTTAACAGTTCTTCTGCATCACCTTTATGCCTGAAAAAATAATTTGAAAAGAGTACATAATGATAATGTTTTGGGAAGTTGCGTAACTGCACCATTTGTGATTCTCGCCTAACTAATGGTATTGATTTTAAATTCCTGGGCAGATCTTATCTTTTCAATTTATAGTCGCGTGAACTTTGAACCTGCATGACACTTGTTGTATATGTGAAATCACAAGCATATTCCATCCTTGTGAAAAGTTGTTTTTAAAATAGTGTAGATGACATTGATACATTTCTATTAAAGTGATCCTGCTTGCCTAATCTTGCCCAACTTTAAGCAGTTCTCAGAGAATCTTGCCTAACTCGTAGGAGTACTAACAGAGAATAGTTATGCTACTGCTTACATAGAATCTTTGCTGTCTACCACGTAGTTGTAGTTCTCACAGAAAATATTGCCTAACTTTTAGTTCTCACAGAAAATATTGCCAAACTTTTAGTTCTCACAGAAAATATTGCCAAACTTTTAGTTCTCACAGAAAATATTGCCAAACTTTTAGTTCTCACAGAAAATATTGCCAAACTTTTAGTTCTCACAGAAAATATTGCCAAACTTTTAGTTCTCACAGAAAATCTTGCCAAACTTTTAGTTCTCACAGAAAATATTGGCAAACTTTTAGTTCTCACAGAAAATATTGCCAAACTTTTAGTTCTCACAGAAAATATTGCCTAACTTTTAGTTCTCACAGAAAATATTGGCAAACTTTTAGTTCTCACAGAAAATATTGCCTAACTTTTAGTTCTCACAGAAAATATTGCTTAACTTTTAGTTCTCACAGAAAATATTGCCTAACTTTTAGTTCTCACAGAAAATATTGCCTAACTTTTAGTTCTCACAGAAAATATTGCCTAACTTTTAGTTCTCACAGAAAATCTTGCCTAACTTTTAGTTCTCACAGAAAATATTGCCTAACTTTTAGTTCTCACAGAAAATATTGCCAAACTTTTAGTTCTCACAGAAAATATTGCCAAACTTTTAGTTCTCACAGAAAATATTGCCAAACTTTTAGTTCTCACAGAAAATATTGCCTAACTTTTAGTTCTCACAGAAAATATTGCCTAACTTTTAGTTCTCACAGAAAATATTGCCTAACTTTTAGTTCTCACAGAAAATGTTGCCTAACTTTTAGTTCTCACAGAAAATATTGCCTAACTTTTAGTTCTCACAGAAAATATTGCCTAACTTTTAGTTCTCACAGAAAATATTGCCAAACTTTTAGTTCTCACAGAAAATATTGCCAAACTTTTAGTTCTCACAGAAAATATTGCCAAACTTTTAGTTCTCACAGAAAATATTGGCAAACTTTTAGTTCTCACAGAAAATATTGCCAAACTTTTAGTTCTCACAGAAAATATTGCCAAACTTTTAGTTCTCACAGAAAATATTGCCAAACTTAGTTCGCACAGAAAATATTGGCAAACTTTTAGTTCTCACAGAAAATATTGTCAAACTTTTAGTTCTTACAGAAAATCTTGCCTAACTTTTAGTTCTCACTACTCCTATCATCTTGCCTAATTTCTAACAGTACTTCATGTGTGAAGGGCTATGCTACTCAAAGTGTTTTCTTGAGAACTAAACATGATTCCAATAACACTTTGAGAACCCATTACAAATTAGTTGCTGATGCAGGATATTTGCTCTCCGAAAACCTTACCTAACTCTTGGTAATGTTTTATGTTTTTCCATATACTTGTGTAACGCATACAATCCAAGGTGGATGCTTGCTGGAGATTCCATTTTACTCAAATCAGATATCAGGATTGAAGGATTTGTTAACTGTGCCTCAAGTGATTCCTAAAAGATAAACAGTAGATACAAAGTTAGACATGCAACCCAAATTCTATCAAATCAGCGTCTTTCAAAGGTCTAAACGTAAAGTAAATATTTCCTGTTTGTTTTTGTCATAAATCATAATTTAATGATTAAAAAGTGTTTATAAATAACAAAAGACTAAAAGCTAAGCAATGGCAAAAATGTAGAAAGAATTTGTCATTTGCTTTAAGGAAAAAATAATTATATTTGATTTGCAACAAAACTGGGCTGAGTTTGGTTATCCAATGGAATGAGTGCATGATGAGGAACATCAGAATTCATGCATCAGAAGATGCATAAACTACCACAAACTAAGGGATAACGTCAAAAGATCGATGTCGGATAAAAAACTGAGGTGGAGGGGGGGGGGGGTTGACCTCAAAATGTTTCCATCCTACAAAAACGATTTTATTTTTTAATGAAGTCGAAAAAATCTTGGAGTATTTGTAGTTCATTTTTTTTCTACCCAATCATGGACAGAAATAACAGAAAATGAAAAAACACACATCCAAGACAAGAAAATGATTTGGTCTGAGTGTAAATATGTGTGTCAAATGAGGTGCATTTGTAAAGTCTTTTTACACCCACCCGACAAACAACTGCTATGCCATACTACTGTCCGATTATCAATTTGTATTTAATGGTGAATGTAGTCTGATGCCATGACCAATATTTATCAATTAAGTTTCAGTGGGGGTGGGGTGGGGGGTTTGGAAAAAAACTAAAGGAATCACGTTTTTCATCTGACATCTTTTTTATCTGACATTTTTATCTGATGGCACACCATCATTGGAGAGCAAGTCTCCATGGCAACTGCCAATAGCAGCCACTTGTCAGTCAAAGGAAATGTTTTAAGCCTGTTGCACCCCACACTCCAAGACACAACAAGACTGTCGCAAATTTTGGCAAAATCATTCAATTACCACATCTCACACAGCTGTATGATGTAGCACATAATCTATTCATCATCTGCCAGTTTCAAATCCCACTCTTTGATTGGTGCACTCTCACAACAAGCAGTGCACACCACCCAAAGCAACTCAATGCAACACGATAAAAGCTAACATGCTCAGAATCTACGATGCGGTGGGAAAACCCATTACCGGTAAATTCGTTGTGGCGCATCGCATACCAGACACAGAGCATCTTTTACAATGCAACAGTTGTGTTACGTTGTAGATGGTGGTGTGCTGCGTGCAGGCTTTACTTTATTTAGATAGAAGAAAAAAAATGTTTCAATTTAACATGTGTATCAGTCCAAAAGGACAGTTTACAACTTTACTTTCTTTCCTGTTTTTTGCCATAATATTGTAATATTAAAAGAAAAGAACTACTCAGATCCAGAAACAAGTCTTTTTTTGTTTGTTTAGCCCAACACTGTTGGTTTTTACAGCAGTTACATGTACAATAGAAAACAAAAAACATTTTCAGTTTTTGTACACAAACAAAGTACTTGTATAATTTACTTACAAATGTGACTGTAGCAGACTGTTTAACTTCTATACACCGACCACCTGTTATATAGGGTTTGTATTGACTACTAGTAGTATCACATATACTGAATGCATACGGTGAAAGCACTAAAATAAGAAAGAAATATTGATGCTCAATAAAATACATTGTACATTCAGTAAAATTTAACCAACATAAATTGTTTTCAGCACACAGATGCACAACATACAAGTGTTTGCAGGATATTTGAAAATTCTAAGAAATGCTCAGAATTGACCATGTGAATTTTAAACAGATGGCAGTTATGGGCCCATCACAAGTTTTTTGTTTTTGATGTATTGCAAAGCATCTACATCTACAATGTTAGCTTGGACTCTCTACAACACCCAAGCAATGATGTTCAGTTTATTTCACAAAATTTATTTCAAGCGTCACATATTTTTAAAACAAAGTTGAACTATTAAAGTGAAATCCAACACATCTTCATTGGGCAGTTTATCTGTTGCATGCTGGGAATTCTTCCAAATCATGTGATCTCCAGATGCTTGATGCTAGTTACCATGACAGCATTCCAACCAACCAATCAGATTTACAGTCAATTGCTGATTGTGATTGCATAATTGACCATCACGACTAGAATTGTGCAACATTATCACCGTAGATCATGAAGCTACATGTACATGTAGAGCTAATCAGAGCAATATTTTTTATCAGACATGCTCAGTCTTGATTGCAGGTTAGCAAAAAACGAAAACAAAGAGGTCAAAGTGTGTACATGTCTCACAGATATAGAAGGTGCATAGATTCTTGTGTAGTGCAAGGATGGTGAACAAATTAGGTCCAATTATCCCATTAATATCATACCTTTCACTTGATGTGTTGTGTTATTTAGAGATGTCATTCCTTCAACCTCTTTGAATGTGACATAGGCTCCAGACTCCAAACCATGCATTTGGTTTTCAAGACATGTTACAATGCCAGGATTAGCCTGTGGCAAAAAAGACAAAAAAAAATTTAATTTAAAAACAGTCGCTGACAAAGGTATCCAGAAAAAAAGGGGGGTGAATATCTTCAACCACATTATAGCGTTATTGTCATGCTCAACTCAAAAATGGGTCCTTGCAATTGCAAAGAAAAATATAAAAAAATAATTGCAACATAATGTTCTCAAAGTCTAATACTTTTAACAATGGTTAAATCACACTTTAAAATTTTAAATATTAGCAGTATGGGTTAACCTGTATTCAACTTGCTTTCGAATGGCTGGCTGTCAAGCAACCATTGTAAATCTTAAACTCTCTATACAAAGTTTGGTTCAAATTTGCTGAGATACATGTCAAAGAAATGTTTGATAATACTTCAAAGAATAGATTTTGCAAATGTCTACCAGTTTATTCATGCACTTACGGGGGAAAAAAGTCAGAACAAAAAAGGTGCATCTCATATAGTAGAATCCCTGTGTCAACTTGAAGCTTGAAAAAAACATATTACTATTTCCCAAGCAATTAGACACAATATATTCAAAATAATTAGCTAGTTTACTGTAATAGCATTATTTACTGTAAGTTGAAAGAAAATTTTCGTACAATTGTAGAACAGTTTTGCACGTTCCTCAAATTTTGTAGTTTCTAACAGAAAAATCAGTAAAACCAGACAATCTACTAGTATTGAGTACAGTGCAAAAAGTTATACAGTGGTAGATATATATGAGATGAGCAACTGCTTGTGCTTTTAGAGGATGAATATTCATTGTTGAGTTTACCAATGTTTATAGTAAACCTGGTTTGCCTCTGAAAAACACCTGCCATAATCAAAGATTTTATTACTATGCCTATCTTCCCCATAAAATTGTTTTACCTCCACTGTTTAAAACACCACAGTAGTCCCAACCAAGTGTTGTTTAATATATATCCAAAGTTAGAATTTTGATTTCAAATCAAATATTAAGCCGCATTGATAAATGAATACTTTGGATATGTAAGTTATTTAACCCCTGGGTTCATGTGACATGCCTAATGTGTATGCTAATACATTTTACAGACAATATTGAAGTGAAGTACATTGCATAGTTATCTATAAAAACAGAAGTATATTACCTTGGAAAAAAAGTTGGTGGTCAGTGTGCACCATCAACCATTTAATTTAGTGGTCCAAAGCATAAAACCAGTGGTCATTTGATGCATGACCAATGCTAATTTAGAACCCCGAGTCCCATGCAACATATACAATGTATGTCAAATATCTTATTTGTTTACACAAAATTCAGACACGCAAGAGTGGTAAACAATACCGGTAGATGGATAGGTTCAGTCATCAAGAATTCTGTCCAACAATATTACATTTCTAATCATTTGCCATATTTTGGGTGTAAACAAGTAAATGTGACTGAAAACAAATGATTGACCAATATTGGGACATTTTAAAAAAATACTAGGAAATTGCCGATGTTGGGTGAGCATCTGTATTTTATATGTGTTAATATAACATTTTTTTGCAATAGTTTTGAAATATTAACCTGGTTCGAAAAGCTAAAATCTTCTACATAATATTAACAGTTTACCTATTGACTGACAGGGCAGGAACTTGTATCAGTATTTAACTTGTCAGTTAATCGACGAGACTAGTACTCAAACTACTGTAGAATACCTAATTTTCGCTTGGAATTTATTTTTGCTATTTTTGCTGAAGGGATGATTCCGTGAAATTAAAATCCAGCGAATATACTTTTTTTCCTATAGTTCACATTAAACTCATCAAAAAACAGTGAAAATAAATTGTATACAAAACGCCTAAAAAGCCTTTTCAGCAAAAATTAATTCCAGCAAAAATAAAGTATTCCACAGTAATCAGCAGACTCAAGCTTTATATACATGTAGCAAGCTTCACTATGTGGGACAGTAAAGCATATAACTCGAGCAAGCATAGAATTACAGTAATGGATGTCTCCTTGAGAAAACATGTGATAGTGGCATTTCACATCAAAGCTGACTATTGCTTTTTTATAAAGACAGTCTGAGCCAAATTAAAATTTTGTTCTACTGAGCATTTTTGCTTTCAGCTTTATTCCTTTCTACATGTGTAGAAACCAAAAAAGAATTGTCAAATTTTCTTCAACGTTGTAATAAACAATATTATATTCTATATGCAAAGCATTATGGAAGAGAACCTCCCATTGTATATAATGTAAAAGTGATATCACCATGGAAACTAAATTATAAGTCAATTATTTGAAATGTTTTTCATATTAGGATTCATATCAATAATAATTTTTATTTTTTTATATTCATGTCACAGAGTAAAATTTTGAATTATGAAGAAATTATAATCCTACCATAGAAACCAGTGCAAAAATGACATATAAATTTAAAATTAGCTCAAACCTCGTTAATCCCTTATAATTTTCCCAAATATGAGAACTATAACTACATAATTTACATATCAGTGTTGACTGTCCAGTTGTAGAGCATCGTGCAGTGGTAGAGTAGAGCATCGTAAAGAGCTTCGATACAGAAACATAATGTCAGAGTTGAAAACAATAACATTGTATGTGGGTGGATATATCGGAAATGTATTCCGTTTTTCATGCACAACAAATCACCTTTTAAGGTTTATTCCAGTTGTCTCAAAACTTAAAGATATTATTAGCTGTTAGTATACTCGTATAGAAAATCAATCGAGTTTTGAAGTCCTTCTGGTGTTGTTGATAGAAGTGCAATGTCATCTGCATATAGTAGACATTTTACTAATTTATCATATAGTTCTTGTGTTGTTTTATCACTTTTAATTCCTGTGATAAGATGATTTATAATTGGTCATCGAAATTTTACTTAAGTCTATTTACTAATGGTTTATTTTGATTTTTTCAGTAAGCATGTCATTTAATTTCATGTTAAATTTCATATTTTTATACATAATCTTTATTATACTGTATACTATTCTGTAAATGTTATTATTCATTAGTTTATAATGTGAAGATGTAGAATAAAATAAGACATTGCATGGATAAAGAAGATTTTGACAAATTACATTTCTTTAAGAGAATTAATGATTAAGAACAGATATCCCTTAAGCATGTTTCAAGAAAATTCATATTAAAAATGTTCACTTTATTTTATTTTTTTCCTTAACTTTCAAAATGGAATAGTTTATTTGTTATTTTTTGACCAAATAGACAAAATTTATCATAGTCATTTTTGAAGCAATATAAAAAACATTATGCAGATTTATTTTGCACAAGATGATAAAAATTTACATTGGCATTCAAAAGGAGATTTATCTAATTACACAGGTCTCCCTCAATTATCATAAAATATTATATTTAAAATTACCACAATTTTTTCTTTTTATGCTAAATGTCTTGGTATAATGAGTTCTACGAAGACCATTAAAAGCACATGTGTCTGTTCTATGGAGGCAGTCTTGTTAATTATATATTCAGCATAGAAATAACTAATACAAATACCCCATTTAGGAAGCAATAGCATAACCATATGGGAAAATGTGAAACCCCTCTGGTTATTGTTCGAATTTAGAATTACTTTCATGAGAGACCATATGCTTTCAATTTGGTAGTTACAAGTGACATTTTCGCAACCATATCAAAACCCTAAATCTGAAAAAAAACATACATTTATTTAAATACTTGGGGAATGTGTGTATGAACTGTTAATTGATATTATCACTCATGTATGAGATAGTCGATGTTATTGGTCAAAAGTGGTCACATGATCATTGGATAAATATTGATATTGGCCTCTCAGCACGTATTCCTTGTTCTAACATTATTTTATGCGTGTTACTTGTCACTCATGTTGTAACATCCGGGAGATTGTTGCAGAGAATAAAAGGATGGATGACACTTTCAGTGTGTTTTTCCACTGGGGGTTAATTTTAATTTGAAAGCTTGTGACTGACTCAGTTTAATCTCGCTTACTGCCTCTTTTGGGATAATAAAACAAATATTGTCATTGGCTTTGGTAAATATTAAGAATTATCATTTCCCAAGAGGATGTTATTGTTCTCAGCCTTCAGCCAATAACTGTATATTATAAATCAAATATTTTCAAGGGCTAGGATAAATTATTAATTTACTATATGCCTGATACTGTTAATAGTTCCCGTCTAAAGGAAACATAAATGTTCCCTGGTATGGCCCCAATATCCAATCTCATGAAGCCCTAAAACAAGGAAATTGTTAGTATGAAAGTAATATCTGGTAGATTATACTAGCAATGCAAGTACATTGAACAGAATTTGTGAATGAGCTTACAAATCATTTGATATTTTTAAAGATGATTCTTTTTTTTCCTGACTATCAATTTTGAAAAATAAGTATACACTTTTTTTTCAAGCATGTGATGTTGAGGAGAAGTATAGACACCCCCCTCCACACACACACACACACAAACACATACACCATAGAAGTAAGGCCAACAGCTCAAACATTGAAGTGACAGTCATTTGAAGCCACTAGTGTGAGGAAGAGTCAGGTAGCTCCCAACATGATACACATAACTTCACCTACCACACTATAGCACAACCAGTAACAAATACTGGCATACTTCAAATATGAACTGAAAGGTTAGGTCGGGTAATCATAATTATTCAACCGTGCAAAATTACATTCTTTTATAATATTAGGAAAAGTACTGGTAGTCATGAAATATTGCTAGAGATATGAAGAAGAACAAGCTAGTAGTTTACCAAATACAAATAAGGAATTAGGTGTATTCCCATCAGGGATTGATGGCTAGGGGTGCGTCTCATCAAGGTTGATGACTAGGGGTGTGTCCCTTCAGGAATTGATGGCTAGGGATGTGTTCATAAGGAATTGATGGCTAGAGGTGTGTCCCATCAGGGATTGATGTCTAGAGATGTGTCACATCAGGGTTGATGGCTAGTGGTGTGTCCCATCAGGAATCAATGGCTAGGAATGTGTCACATCAGGGATTGATGGCTAGAGGTGTGTCCCATCAGGGATTGATGGCAAGGGATGTGTCACATCAGAGGTTGATGGCTAGAGGAGTGTTCCATCATGGTTGATGGCTAGGGATGTGTCACATCAGGGATTGATGGCTAGAGGAGTGTTCCATCAGGGTTGATGACTAGAGGAGTGCTCCATCAAAAGTTGATGGATAGGGGTGAGTCTCATCAGGGATTGATGGCTAGGGATGTGTCACATCAGGGATTGATGGCTAGGGATGTGTCACATCAGGGATTGATGGCTAGGGATGTGTCACATCAGAGATTGATGACACAGGATGTGTTCCATCAGAGGTTGATGGCTAGAGAAGTGTTCCATCAGGGTTGATGGATAGGGGTGCGTCTCATCAGGGATTGATGGCAAGGGATGTGTTCCATCAGGGTTGATGGATAGGGGTGCGTCTCATCAGGGATTGATGGCAAGGGAAGTGTCCCATCAGAGGTTGATGGCTAGAGGAGTGTTCCATCAGGGATGTATGGATAGGGGTGTGTCACATCAAGGATTGATGGCAAGGGATGTGTTACATCAGGGATTGATGGCAAGGGGTGTGTCACATCAGAGGTTGATGGCTAGAAGAGTGTGCCATCAGGGATTGATGGCTAGAGGAGTGTTCAATCATGGTTGATGGCTAGGGGGGTGTGTTCCATCAGGGTTAATGGATAGGGGTGTGTCCCATCAGGGATTGATGGCTACGAATGTGTCACATCAAGGATTGATGGCTAGGGATGTGTCACATCTGGAACTGATGGCAAGGGATGTGTCCCATCAGAGGTTGATGGCAAGGGATGTGTCCCATCAGAGGTTGTAGGCGAGAGGAGTGTCCTATCAGAGATTGATGGCTTGGGATGTGTCCCATCAGAGGTTGATGGCTAGGGGTGTGTCCCATCAGAGGTTGATGGCTAGGGGTGTGTCCCATCAGGGATTGATGGCTAGGGATGTGTCCCATCGGGGATTGATGGTTAGGGTTGTGTCCCATCAGAGGTTCATGGCTAGAGGAGTGTCCCATCAGGATTTGATGGCTAGTGATGTGTCACATCAGGGATTCATGGCTAGGAATGTGTTTCATCAGGGATTGATGGCAAGGAATGTGTCCCATCACAGGTTGATGTATAAGGGTGCGTCTCATCAGGGATTGATGACTAGGGATGTGTCACATCAGGGATTGAAGGCTTGGATGTGTCCCAAAAGCAGTTGGAGGTTCAGGGAGTTGATGGATAGGGGTTGTCCTATCTGGGGATAATGGTTGGGTTATGACCTATCAGGGTTTGCTGGTTAGGATGATGGAAGGGGCCTGTCCCATCCAGGGGTTAATGGTAGGGGCAAATTAGGGGGTCGATGGCTAGTGGTGTGTCCCATCAGGAATTGTTGGTAAAGCAGTGTTCTTGCCACACAAAATACAAATTGTTCAGTGGGTATTAGGACAGAACTTACATGTATTTTCAGTCAGCGAATTTGCTTTTGTAAAATGATAATGAATAATTATGTTTGAATTTAATATTTCTACTAACAGGAGAGATTTCTTTGTTTAGAAATGCTAAGCTAAAGTGGAATGGGGGTTGAGCGTGTTCAGTTGGTATAGTGGTAGTGTAACTATTCATTTACCTTTGTTATATTCGCCACAAAAACCTCTACGGGTTCTTCTCCATTTTGATCCACCACTTCAAAGTGATCGCCGAAGTCACAGAACACAGAACAAAATACACCATACACATCAGCTGATATAAACTGAAAAGAGAACAAAAACAAAAACATAGTGAAACTAATGTAACCTTACCAAGATAAGGTATTTTTAAGTGGGAAAAAAATACTGTAAAGTACTGTATTTTCATTTGAAATTTATATTCGCAAGCAGGATAATCAGTGAAACATTTACATTTAAAATCTAGTGAAAAAAAATATCATACGCAACAGCCAAAATGAATGTAGCTGCCAGTATTTGAGGAGCTACTTAATACCTGATATAAATTACAAGCAAGCTAATAAAAAAAACACAAATGACAGAAACAAATTAGGTGTTGAATTTGAAAATCATTCAAGTACTAGTTACAAATGTGAGCTTTGTTTAGCATATTGTATCCTAATTTTGGTCAAGAAGTATCCATTTATTTGTTTATCTGTCTGCTTGGTTTATTAATTGACAGTTCATTTGTTCTTCATTTACAGGTCTAAAAAAATGCCAAATTATTTATTATGTTTATTCATTTCTGCCAGTTAACCAAAACTTTAATAAGACAATATGGATATTTTTCAGATATTTTAAATAATTTTGTTTGATATTACACTTTGTTAAATAATATATGATTTATAGTAAAAAACAAATTTTGTTTTGGCAACAAATAGACGCATACCAGGGATTTCTCTAGAAAAAAACTGCAATTCAGCAGCGCCACCAAGAATTCTCCCTACCAGGGTGTGGAGTTTTTGTTAATTCTAAGTTAAAATTAAGCATTCTTTGGCTTCCTTAGGGCCAAAATTACTATCAGATAGGTCACAGTTGAAGACTGTGGCCACATGTGATCCCTGGTCAATCAGAATTTTATGGTTGCCAGAGGATCTGCTCCCCATGATAAGAGGCGCATGGCCATGGCATGAGAACGTTGCACCCCTGTTCCGTTGTTTAAAAAAAATTCCTGCATACACACAATTGGGTTCACTGATTTGAATACTGCTATGTTAGTTGCCAATATAAATGGTATTTATATTTACTCGTAATTTCTCTATATACATCTTGTGTTAAATGATCTACAGCCAGTGTTCGAAATTAGCGTCAGTCCGTCGGCCTCACGCCGACAGTGGGTGTAAAGGGCCTAGAGCTGTGAAAAACCATCAGTCCTTGCGACCGACCATAAATTTATATTTTAAAAAAATGTTCCATTATTTAGTATGATTGTAAGACCAAATATATAATAAATATCTATAGTAACTCCAGAATTGTTTCAAAATTGCGTTTTCTTGCACGTTTGATCAACAAATGGCATCACTCATCGACCTGGGCATACGAGTCATAATTCAAGCTCGCCGAATGATCGCGAAATGCACCGAACGTGGGAACTGTAACAAACGATCTGATTGGATGTAGGCCGATCAAGCCTCCGATTCAAACCAATAGAATTCGCGCATACATTTTATGTTCCGCCATCTTTGATTTGCATCGAACACGCTGCAGAGTTACGTCTACATCGAAGTATGTGGCAATATTTAAACTGCCAGGAGCCTGCTGCTAAACGTGTGAAAACCACACAAGAAAGACTTGACAAACAGCAAGAATACGAACAGCTGTGTTATTTCCAATTTAACCTACATTTTTTTCAATATCAAAAAGAACAAGTCATTGTCAATGACACGTCCCCGTTCCGTTCATATTTGAGTGACATATACATTCAAAGCAGATCATGACCGAAATGCACCTGCATATGTACAACACATTGTA